GTGTCTCTGGGTCTTAGATAATAAAACTTGGTCTTTAAAAGCAACTTCACTGCATATGAAATTCTCAGTCTCGAGCAAAGGTGGGGACTTCCCTGGTGGTCCAGTGGCTAAGAATCTGCCTTCCAATGCACGGGAGACGGGTTCGATCCCTGGTCAGGGAACTAAGATCCCACATGCCGCACGGCTACTGAGCCCGCACGCCGCACCTAGAGAGAGGCCGACAGGCCACCAGAGAGAAGCCTGCGTGCCGCAACAAAGAGCCCGATGCAGCCAAAAATAAATAAATATTTAAAAAAAGAATATTAAGAGCAAAGCTGAACCAGTTTAAGACAAATACTTCCAGAGTTTGCAAGTCAGTATCACCTGGAGACAACAAAAAAATTAGGAACATCAGTTTGGCTGGAACAGTTAGCAAACACGCAGCGTGGAGGGAAATACAGCGACCAGGGCTCTGTGTGATAGAAACTGTGAATATGGGCCCATATGCAAGGCCAGCAATACCAGCACCAGAAAAACACTTTCTCCTCAATTTCATTTCTTGTCTTTCTATTTCTTACACTTTGAAGTGTCTGTTTCAGGTTCACTACAGGGATGACATAGGTTAGCATTCAGATTGACGGACCACAACTAATAATGGTATTATGATTATTTCCAAACATTTATTCATCAAAGGTATAATACTGTTGGTAAAAAGACAAAAAATAGTATTTTATATTTCTCCCATGTATAATAAGCCAGAAAGGTTCAAATGTGTGTATATATATGTGTGCCTGCATATATGTGTATGTATGTGTGTATATCTGTGTGTGTATATGTATGTCTTGTGTGTGTGTATGTCTGCATGTATGTGTGTATGTCTGTGTGCGTTATGTGTACATATACATATACGATTTTTTTTTTTTTTTTTTTTTTTTTTTTTTTTTTTGGCTTTGGAATCCATGCTTTTTTTTTTGCGGTACGCAAGCCTCTCACTGTTGCGACCTCTCCCGTTGTGGAGCACAGGCTCCGGACACGCAGGCTCAGTGGCCATGGCTCACGGGCCCAGCCGCTCTGTGGCATGTGGGATCCTCCCAGACTGGGGCACGAACCCACGTCCCCTGCATCGGCAGGAGGACTCTCAACCACTGCGCCACCAGGGAAGCCCACATATATGTATTTTTTTAAACAGGGTCTGCTCGGCACAAATTCTTCGTCTACATTTAAAATGGAGAATTTCTCAGGTTCACTCCTAACTCGAGAGCCATCGGTGCAGCCTGTGACGTACTGCACACCTGTGAGGACCACCTCCAAGTGTGACGCTTACCTCTGAGTGGACTCTCTGCACGTGTGACTGGAGATTCCCCTTCTGAGAAAAAGCGGCAGGACAAAAGGCACAGGCGTGGGGTTTTTCACCTGTATGCTTAATCATGTGAGTTTGCAGCGCCCCCTTCTGGTTAAAAGCTTTTCCACATTCGCTACATTTAAATGGTCTTTCACCTAGAGAGGGAGAAAAACGATCAAACATCATTCCATACTGTGCGAGCATCTGATGGATTAAAAGAAGATACTTAAGTTACCCACACTCAAGACCCCGAACCTACCCCTCCATGCAGAACATTCCCCTGTGGCCGCAGACTCACACATCTCACTACCTACTCAAAATCTCACAAGGAACACCAAGGTTATCAGCAAACTATGGAAAAGGCAAGATTAACTTTCAGGTCTAGCTGGCTCTAAAGCACCTTTTCTTCCCTTAAGGTCCCGCGGGAAATCACCCAAAAGTAAATGTATCTCGTACCTGTGTGTATCCTAATATGCCGAGTTAACTGACTTGGCTTTTGGAACGTCTTTCCACAGTGTGGGCATGAATACGTGAATCCACTCCTGTCAATGTTCCGATTATAAGACCTTGTACTTGACACCCTAGTATAAATAGAGGGAAAATACTCAACAAGTCGAATCCCTGTGCCACCACTGCTAAATCAAAATCCTGTGGGAAAGGTTAGGCCGACTGGCCGTCAGAATGTGCTTTAATGAGAAATCAATCGCATATAAGTGTGTAGGACACACACACATCCGTGTATTAGTTTTGTGCATCAATAGCATAAAACTCAGTCTTTGGCTGGGGAGAAGGAAAGTCGAATGCCTCTTCTAGATAAAGCTGTACCTGTGATGGTCAAACACAAAGACCTGTGCAGGTGTGGTTTCTACGTCGACACCAGTGTGTGCTGCCTGCTCCAGGCTCCTCCTAGATGCTGATGATCTCCAACAACTCGGACCCCTCCTCTGCGCAGCAGCCCTGGGCACCTAACTCTCTAGCTGACACCCCCTGAAGGCTCCCGGGCGCCTCAAACCTAGCCAGCCCCAAATGAAGCCCTGTTAATTCTCAGCCTGCTCCTTTCCACAACAGGAGACGGCAGCTCCCAACTGTGAAGTTTAAACCTTAGAAGTTACACTGGATTCTTTCTTCTCCCTCACCCCTGACTTCAAGTCCATCTCCAGAAGCTGCTGGTCTCATCCCAAAACACCTCCAAAGAAGCTCCCGTCTCTCCACCCTGCAGCCACCAGTGTGGCCTGAGAGCAGAGCCACCATTCTGTGGTCCCGATCCATGGGTCTCCCTGCTTCAACCTCACCCACACAGCAGCTAGGCTGCGGCCTGAAGGCTGGGCAGCCAGATCCGTGGGCCAAACCCTCCCAGGTTTTCCCGCGGCCCTTGGGGTAACACCCGCGTTCCTGGATGGGCTCAGCGCCCTCCAGCTCCGAGACCCGGCCGCCTGGCACTCAGCCCCGTGAGCTCCACTCCACCCCACAGCCGGCTCCCATCCCACCGGCCTCCCCCTGAGGCTCAGACTGTGGCAACTGCGCACCCTCCCC